ACCATGTTGATTAAAACACCTTTGCTCCATCAGAGCTTTGGTCCCCGTGTCTTTCTTTCTATTCCTTCTTTCTGTCTCTCTCTCTCTCTGTGTCTCTCTCTCTCTCTATTTCTGGCTAATTCCTTGGAGCGTGGAGGCCCGCTGAGCTCACTTTCTTGCCCGGGCTTCTAAGCCCCTCTCGAGAAGGCGCACTGCGCCTTCACCCACTCGAGAGGGCGCCTGGTGCCCACGCGCAGCAGCGTGAGCCCTAAGAACAGGACTCTATTGGCCTTCCGCGTAAACCAGGGGATATCAGCCTCTTTCTCTCTCTCAATTTCTTATCGTCGACTCTAGACCACCAGGTTCCGGTCCATTAAAGGAACAACAGGACATGACTGAGTGACTGAACTGAACTTCCATTTGCACAATAAATCCAGGTTTATCAATGTTTTTACATCTATTATTTCTTTACATCCTTATAATAACCCTATAATGTAGGTTGGGCACTTTTATCTCACTCACCATTAACTCACTTGTTATACATGAGCAAACTGTAACTGCAAACAGGTTCAATGCCTAATCAAAGGTTGCACAGCCTGAAATGTGATTAAGATTTACATGTGGTTCTTTTCATATCTAATGCAGTCCTCTTTCCACTACAACAGACTAGCTCCCCATGAATGAGTGGCAGTTGTCTTGAGGGGAATTAACAGATTGCAGTATGAGGAGATTACAACTTGTTTCTCCCACCAGAAAGGAACTTCAAGCTCATTCTCTAATAATGATGCATGACAGCTAACAAAGATCATCCCATTCCACACTGTCCACTTTTTTGATAATTAATTTGGACCTGTTTCTTTAAACCATTACTGATCAGAATGGTTCACTTTTCAAAATGAATATAAAAGTGAATTTGATCATTGTAAACTTTCCTAAGAAACTCCTCCAAAAGAATACACATCTTCTGCAATCCAGATATGACATTACATTAACTGAATGAAAAGTTTAAAATTATTAACATATGTTGGTATACTATTATTATTTGGGGAGAAGCTCTTCTAATCGTTCCTAATATGAATTTCCACCATGGACTACTTAACTGAGCTAAGCAAACTTAGAAATATCTTTACATAATGAATAATTGGAAACCTATTTTTGAATAATCAATTTTAAAGGACTGGCCCATCTTCAAGATTGTTAAAAATGAACAATCATAGGTAGACAAAAATGTTTCTAATATTTAAGGCACATCATCCAAATATTTTATTCATATATATGGTTATGTGTGCATATACAGACATACAACTAAAGTGTTTATACACTTAAATGACAATCCTCTCCTGGAATGCAATCCCCTCCTGAGATTAGGAAGGATAGGAATAAAATATGTAAAATTCTTTTAATTTTATTTTTAATATGGCGAAACTATACAACAGTTTGACTTTCCAGTCTTGATTGAGATATCAAAGAAATTCTGGGAAAAAGTAATATAATCTTTCTGAAAAGTTCAGTAAATTAGAAATGTACCCTACAAGTTTTGTGTATAAATGAATTTGTTGAATAATTTGAATATAAATGTGTATCCCATTTTTTGTATTAATAGACAGCAAAATGAAAGTAATACTTTTATGTAAACATCAAGTTTTGTCTCTATGAGATCGTTATGATATGAAACTTGTGTAATTACAAAAATGCTATTACTTTAAAATAGCTCTTTTTTTACTCAAGCTAAATATTTACTACTGAAGCTAAATTTAACAAATTTAATTAAGAAAATCTCCAATGCTTCTATAAAATACCATCCAGCCTTTAAAAATCAAATCATATGAGCCCTTTGCTTCCCTGCTATGAACAATTAATTAGGAATAGAACAACTAAATGAGACCACAATAGAGAATTAAGAATTGAATAAACAAATAAACATTCACTATTTGACACAATGTAAGGTGCACTGCAAAGTATTGAAGATCAGTTAATGATAAATAAGCAAGCACATGACTAAATGCTAAGGCCCTGCGCTAGGTGTAGTCGGGACTTTAATAAGAACAGAAAGTAAAGACACTGTCCTCAAGGTGCTTATGCTGATTTGAGTGTTCTACAAAACTCTAAAACTAAAAGTGTTAGTCACTCACTTGTGTCTGACTCTTTGAGACCCCATGGACTATAGCCTACCAGAATCCTTTGTCCATGGAATTCTCCAGACAAGAATACTGTAATGGGTAGCAATTCCCTTCTCCAGGAGATCTTACCAACCCAGTGATCAAACCCAAGTCTCCTGCATTGCAGACAGAGTCTTACCATCTGAGTCACCAGGGAAGCCCAAAAGTGAAGTTCAAAGAAATTCCCGAACAGAGTTTTGGGTGACGCTTTTCAAAGGCTGTCACACTGAGCTATTCTCGAAAGGAGATGTTTCACTGGCAAGAAGCAAGGAAGGGAGGGCGTTTCTGAGAGTGAATAACTGAAGCCAGCATTTCTCAACCAGCATTTCTCAATAGTTCCATGAACACTATTTTGCAGGAGATGTTAATAGGTGTTCTAAAATAAAGGGTTCCTTGGTTAAAAGAATTTGGGAAACTGTAGGAAAAAGAGACAGGTTTCTTCAACATAAGCCATCTCAGACCCTTAAGTATGCTAATGAGAATAATCAATCTCCAAGAAGAATATTTCAAGTATACCAAATTTACTGGACTATGGAAAGCTTTCCTCCTGAAAAACCTATTAGCATCTCTGTAACTAATGCTGGGAAATGCTGGCAGAAGGAAATGTGTGGAGAGGGTAAATTCTAAATGTGAAGGGAAAAGAGGTGACTTAGCTGCAAGAAATGATGGAGTTAACGGAACAGAGATGAGGCTGCAAAGGGGAGATAACGGGGAGTCCAGGATAGAAGAGCTTCAAATTCCTAGTAAGGAGATTTTTTTCTTTAATCCTGAATGCAACAAGCAACCATTGAACATATTAAAGCCTGGAGTGACAATAATTAGGGAAGTGTTTTAAGAAGATTAAAGACCATAGGCAGGGCAGAAAGTTAGGAAATACTGTAATATTCCAGGAAGGACAGAATGAAAGAGCAGCCCTCAGGAGTTCTGGGTTTTGATGCAAAGGAAAAAAAAAAGAGAAAGAACTGACATAAAACCATGACCAGCTTAATTTATCTGGAGGCAAACAAAGGCCAAGACAACTCTGGTTTCACAATCGAAAAAACTGGTGGTAAATTTTAAATAAATAAGAATGGAGACCAAGCTGGTTTGAGGAGAGAGAAGTGAAGTAAAATCTCTCAGTCATGTCCGACTCTTTGAGACCCCATGGATGGGACCACAAATAATGGGTTGGATTTCAACATGCAACAGGACCTACCTATGGGTAATGTGGAGTACACTGGTGACTTCTGAAGTCACTTTTAAATAGACTGACAGAAATAGACCTAGTCAATCAACAAACATCTACTATGCTAAGAACTAAATTTATATTTCTTTATATTCATTTAAAAACTATGTTGTGCTGAAATTACTCAATCAGCTCTATAATTTAGACATCATAGTTAAGATTTTAAGTGTATATGGGGGTTTTTCTCATAGGGAATATAGGGGGAAATGTAAAGTTTATAGATTTTGAAATTATGGTAGTCAAGATTTAAAGAGATCTCAAAAAGCTTTGGGCATAATTAAAATTAATGAGCATTTCCACATTCCTTTTGAAAGAAAATACTAAGCATTCAACTTTTCAAATCATCATGAAAATTTCATCTCAAGAAGAGTCTTGCTTGTGTAATATATTCTGTTAAAAATATCCAGGGCAGTTTATGCAACCAATGCCTTATTTTTATCCAAACATTAAGATGATTTATTGTCCTAGAAAATCAAATCTGTAGTTATTTCAGTTAAAATGGGAAACTGCCAAAAAGTCTGCTTCTGGTCACAGTTTTCCTCCCATCGAACAAGATAATTTTCTACCATCGAACTCACTGTGACATGACACAAAGTCTGTATCTTGTCTCATTACCTGGGTTCGAAGTTGCTGGATTTCTGTTTCAAGTTCTTTGATTTTTTCTTCTCTTTTTTGAAGCTCAGCTTGAGCTTCCTGTCGAGCCGTGAATTCTTCATCGAACTGCAATGATCATCACCATAAATGTACACTTAGTAATGCAATTTTGAGAAAGCTTTAAACATTATGTATTAAATAAGTGGAGTGTCATTTGCTTCTTAAATTTCCAAGGTCACTCAGAAAATCAGAGCTCTTGATTATTTTTATGGCAATTAAGCACCTCTGTGGAGATAGGGTGTTAGTAAAGGAGAAATATGTCCCTAACACAAGGTAAATAAATCCATTTTCACTTCTGGAAAAAAAAAATACAAAACAAAACTTCAAATGCTGGACTAAGAGGGCTCTCTTCATATACAGCAGACATTTCTGTTGTTTTGTTATTGAAAGCTAAGTTTTAGAATTGTGGTTTTTTTTAATGTTCCATCCCATACTTTTAAGTGTATTTAATTAGAAAATGAAACCTAAAAATTAGGCATCAAGCAATCCAACTCTTTAAAAATATATTTAATCCTGAAAAGAGATAACACTTCTAGAGTGCTCACATGAATGCATATTAATACAAAATAGACTATTTGCATTACAGTCTTAACTGTAGTAAAATAATTCAAAAAGTGATTTTCCACAAAATCTGACAGGAGAATGATATATGCCATAACAGCACTGTCATTCAGGCGGTTAGCCAAAACACTTGTATAGAATGTTATAATAGGGCAAATGAGAGGTTCAGTTACAGAGTGGCAAACCAAAGAGACCATCAGATGGTGACTACCCTCTTACTGCAGGCTGCCCAGCCCTTACCTCAGTCAGATCTCTGACCCAAATAAGCCTACATACTATAAGTGAATACCACTCACGTCCAGCTATAGAGCATTTGCCCTTTAGTGCATTGTCACCGTCACTTCAAGTCATTTAGAAGTTGACACATTATTCCAATGTTATTTATGTTTTTTAAAGTGATATTTCTTACTACTGAGAACTGTCTTTAGAGTTTGTAGAACAATTAAAAAAGTGAGTCCACTGTCAATAAATATTCCTCCTCATAGTAGATTTGACGTTTGGAAATCATAAAATGCTATTCAGATCCAGTCTGAAGAAAGAGCAAATTGGATAATAGTGTTTGGGTCAAACCTGCCAACTACTTACTTCTTTTATTCATCTCTATTTGAATCCCAGGAAAATGTCCCACAGAGATTGGTCCAAATCATTTCTAATCTCTTTACATTTCAAACCTATCCCAGATCCTTCAGTGTCAGCAAATGACCTTATTTTCTAGGTCACTGAGAACGTGGAGCTTTTTCAACTTCATTAGTCTCCCTGTTAAGATTGATCTGAATTTATACTACCAGACTCCTTACCAGTTATCTGTGTGCTTCTCAAACATGCTGTCCACACAAGCACACTGTGTACAATTTTGCTCTACAAACGGTTTATTAGTACACTTAAGGAGAGGCACACAACGTTTCTGCTTATAAGTTAAAATGATCTTTATCTGTAAACCCACAGAGTAGGAATAGGAGAAGCCTGAATTACGTGAGCTGGAAGACTTCTTACGAGTCCACTAACCTTATTCTCTCCTTTTAATGATGAAGAAATTAAGATCTAAGGAGAGTAAATGGCTTACTTAAAGTCACAGCTAATTAGCAGAAATGCTGAGATCAGATCTTATACCTACTGCTTCTCATTCTAGCTATTCCCGCTCCACCCCCCCCCTTTTTTTTTTTACTACTTTGTACTGCCTCTTCAAATCACCCTGAATAAGAGAAGGCATGAAGACAAGAACTGGGAAACCATACAAGATTTCATTCTAAATTTTGGTGAGAAAAAAATAAATAAATAAAAATAAATTTTGGTGAGGAGAATGAAGCATCAAACACTGAAATTTCTTTATTATTTCAGGACTCCTTTTCCAATAATAGATGCTTACAGAAATTTTTACCAGATAGATCATCACAACTTGCTCCAGTCTTGTGGTGTCTAATCACAGCACCAGAGACAAATTAAAGAGCTCCTAAGATTTTCAAAGGGAATTTTAAATATGCAACTTAAAACAAGGACATTAAGAAATATAAAGGTCTACTAATCAAAAAGTGTGCATTTTCTTTCACTATTATAAATGACAGCTTCACACAAACATTTTATGCCCGCTTTATGGGCAACATTTTATGCCCACACTCTTAAAATCCATTCTAGTAACTAAAAAAGCAAAGTCATTTCCTCAGATGCCCTGAAGTAATTTCAGTAATACTCTATAGTTTCTAGAGTGATAACAAAAGCGATTATCTAATCTCCAAGGTAAGTCATAACGTTGAAGAGACAGCAATATGTAAGCAATTTATCTTGCTGTCATAAGGCTCAAAACTGGAGAGCTTTTAGACTTGGGCTTCAATCCTTCTCCTGCCATCAGGAGGAAAGAAATACTGTATTAATGCTTTGTAGGGTCTAGAACCATAAAATGCAACTTTTGGTAGAATCTTATAAAATTGTAGCTAAGTTTTCAGGAAACAAGAGATATCTGAGATCTAAATTAAATTCAGGTATTCATAATACTGACATTTACATAAGGCATTACACAAAGAAAGAGGAACCTCAAATTCCACCAAGCCTACATACATGAAGTAGCAGCATCATTTCAAAAATGATAATTATAAAATTCAAAGATAAGTCTAAGCAGAGAGAGACAGAGAAAGAAAATACTACATCATTTTGTTGCTACCAAGAGCACTGACTTAAAGAACATGACAGATAAGATTAGCTAAACATCTTGCAGTTCTCCAAGGAACTATTGTTAAGTCAGAGCTGCAGGAAAGCAATGGGAAAATGTGGTTTTGGTTGACTATTTCTAACTATATGCTTCTAGCAACCTAATTTTATTTCATTTATCACTTTACTAGGATATGATTAGTGTTTTTCTTTCATACTGGATTAAAGGTGGTGAGCAGGGAATGGTAGCAACATTATCTTATCAGGAAAGAAATCAATATTCTGTGGTTGTGTCTGAATTTAAAAACATAAAGGACTATGTAACTGAAATAACATGTATAAGGCCTCGCATAAGGAAACAAGGTAGAATACGTATTGTGATTAACTTATACATTTAATAATTAAGGCCAATATTTTATAAGCCTTACCTTCTTTGAAAATTCTGCTGCTTTTTGTTCACTTTCTTCAACTTTTGCCTTATTCACACAAGAATCTATTAAGATTGACCAAAAATGATTAGAAATTATTTAATTGGACCACTAGGCAAATAACGGCTGCCAGCCTATAATTCTACTACGGAGACTATCATTACTATGTCAACTAATGTTAGAGGGAAACTGATTTATACTACACATAAAACATAAACTGCCAGATTTTCTTTCTTTTGTATACTACCTGAACTCAATGATAGTATTGTTGAGGCATAAAACCAAGCATCCAAGAATATATTTGACACAATCATCATCATTTAAGTGTATTCCACTATTTACCAACTTTATCTGTCACAGAACTCATTAAAAATACTTTGTAGCTTATTATGGGTAGAGAAGTGCCAAAGAACTATGGTTAAGATTATTAAGGCTCAAAATGACTCAAAAGAAGACTAGAGGGGGAGGTACAACATACAAAGATTTCACTTGAAGAAATTCGAATCAGGGGCAGAATATATTATGTAAATAAGAAAACAAACATCAAACTTCTCAGGTCTCATCAAACACTCCAGAATGTAAGTAACTGAAGAATCCACTTTGAGAAACATTCTCACTATTATATATACAGTCTATTGTATATACCAATTCCCAACCACGTTATACCTATTTATTTACCTAAAAGAAATGAAAGCATATGTCTATACCCAGACTTGTATGTGAATGTTCATAGCAGCTTTATTTATAATAGCCAAAACCTACAAAAAAAGCAAATGTCCACTAACAATAAATGTATAAACAGATTGTGGTATATCCATATACTGAAATAGCATTCAGTTATAAAATCGAATGATACTTGGAATACCACAACACAAATGAATCTCAAAAAAATTATGCTGAATTAAAAAAAGCCAAAACAGACAGCACATGCAATATGCTTCCTTTTACATAAAATTTTAGAAAATCAAACTAGTCTATACTGAGAGAAGGCAGATCAGTGATTATCTCAGGATGCAGAGAGGTGGGGAGGCATGGGAAGGAAAAACTACAAATGGTAACAGAAATTCTAGGGGATGACAAAGATGCTTATAATCTTGACTGTGATGATTTTAAAGGTACACACGAACATCAAAATTTATCCAATTTTACCCTTAAATATAAGTTTTTTTCATATATCAAGAATACCATTAATAAAGTTTTTTATTCTTTGTAAATAAACAATGTGTGGCTGGAGCAAGGCAACCAAAGAACAAATTGAGAAATGATTAGATCAAAGAGGGGTCAGATCTGTGCTGTGCCGGCAATGATTGGTAAAGAGTTTCATTAAAATTTCAATGGGAAGACATTGAAGAAATTTAGGCCACGATATGATCTGATTTATAAAAAAAAAATACTAGACTTACAGACCTGTGAAATCAGAACAGACTCTATCCTCCTCAAGTTCAGCTGAGCTTAGAATAGAGATCCATATATTTCCTAGAAGTTCTTGAAGCATCTGTTAATTTGTGTGTGTGTGTCTGCTAATGAAAGTTTCACAGCCTTTATTAGCTACTCAAGACCTCTGAGCATCAAATATTAAGAGCTACACATATATTTCAGTAATCTGAATTTAGAGCTGAGGTAACTGAAGCCTAGAGAAGCTGTATGAGGTCATAATGGGTTTTTAATACTATGTTCTCTCAACTTATCCCTTCATGTTTTCTCACCTCACTGCTCTTGATAAAGGGGATACATTCCTAAGTACCTGGCACACAGTATATAAAACAAATATCTATCTATTTTGGCTAACAAAATCAACATTTAGTGTGTATGTGCCAACTATGGTCCGCAATAGATAAGCCTATTTAAATATTTGGAAATAGTCCCTTTAACTCTCTCAACAAATATGAAATAAACCACTGAGTTTATTAAGCTCAGGGAAAAAGACGCAGTGATGCCAGCATTCACATTAATTGTAGGCACAAGGTACACTGGCACAAGCTTTCTGAAAAGCATTTAGCCTTTCAAAGTTCATACCCTCACTTTAGAGGAATCAATCCTAAGGAAATATTGAGAAGAAGCCAAATATTTATATTAAGAATGCCCATAGCCAATTCATTTATAATTGTAAATACCTGAAAACAATCTGTATGTATAATAAGGACTAGTCAAGACAATTATGATATTCTACAAAACGGAATATTATATAGACATACAAAGTCAGACTTTGAAAGGTTAATATTGAAACATTCTAATAATATAATGCTCCATGAAAAATTATCATGTAGATAGAAGAGAAATGGATGGAGGAAGAGAGAGCAAGAGATAGACAGAAATGGAGATGAAGATGGAAATAAGAAGATGTACTGAGCTGAAAAGTAATGCTGAAATATATTGAGCTTGAAAAGTATGATTGGTGGTTTATTTTATCACTTACATAAGTCTCTAGACTGCCTCTAATAAGTGAGCATGAGTTTTACAATCAAGAAAAGAATTATACATGATAAATAACAAGGAACTCATCTGAATATTACTGTGAGTCTTCCTATGCTATGGAGTGAAGAATAGCATTCAACAGCATTTGTTTTCCATCTTTAAGACAAATGAGTTCATGCTTAAATCTTAGCAATAGTGATTTTGATTAGGTATAAATAAAATGACTTAACTATAGGTCATATGATATAGTATATTTCATAAGAGAGGCTGCCCATCGTCCTTCAGTGATTATTCCAGAAAGGGTAGCTAGTTACCGTCTCGGAGGATATAAGGTCATTTCCTCAGCAATCCAAGTAGATGAACATGATCATCTCAAATTCTTTCCCAGCTCTAAGGTCTATGAAAATATAAACTGATCTACTTTCATAGAATTAAAACAGACATGTATATGTATGGCTGGGTCTCTTTGCTATTCACCTGGAACTATCACAACATTGTTAATTGGCTATATCCCAATACAAAATAAAAAGCTTTAAAAAAAAAAAAAAAGAAATACAGGCGAATTTAGTAACTTAAGACCTTTTTGTTTAAAAAAGGTCACCTGTATTTCTTTTTCTAGGACCTGAACACTAACATGGCATTACTAATTAGACCCTACTGTATACATGATTTACACAAAACCACAAAGGTATCAGCATAAACTTAACGGATTTGAGTCATCTTTCTGAAAAGCAAGGCACTGACCCCCAATATAATGTCTGTTGGTACAGCATTGATTTTAAACTCAAGTGTTGAAACTTAACAAACAGATTAGGATTTCCAATCACACAGAACTCTCAAGATCATCATAATTAATAATTAGAGCAAATGAGTACCCATGGACACAATAACCTACCATATTAAAAGAGGAAGTTTAGTGAGAGAGCTACACTTGAAAAGTGTCTATTATACCCACAATCAAAGACATTGAAGATTATGTCACATACCTATCAGATGAGTAAAATCAATGTCTAATCTTTGTCTATACTTGAAATCTGGATCCATTCCACTGCAGTGCAGCACTATCTGTGAAACACACTCCTCAATTATTTTGTAATACTGCGGCCTGCAAAAGAGAGGAAGTGTTCTTGAATATCTTTTCTATCCAGACAAATCTATTTTAAGAAATGATTCTGCATGATAAAGAAAACTAAGTCATTTTCTAGCAGGTTAAAAACTCTTTCTAGCCATTACTCTCTCTCAGGAAAAACATGCCTAAGCTTAAAGGTTGGCTGGACATTACAGTGCAAAACCCACTGTGATATAATCAACTATGAATACCTTGACTTAAGACTCTAGCTTGCAGGGATTCATGCTTGTGTTCAAAAATACTTATCAACTTATCTACTTAAGCTATTATTGCTAAAGTTAATAAAAACAAATGACTTTTTAGTCCTACATCTATGGGTAAAGACATGGTTCTAGGCCTCTCCAAGTTCTCAATTTCAATAAGGGATGAGTATCTTGGCATTACATGCCTAACAATGTCTTGAGTTTACTGTCACACTGTTACTCAAGATAGCTATAACAGCTTTTACAAAACTGGACTAGGCCACTTATGTTACAGACTATACCAAAGATCTATTTATACACATAGTTTAAAAGATTTATTTTATAGAAGCAAACATACTAAATATGCATGGCTATAGCTTCAATTTGTTCAAAGTGTCAAAGGTTCTAAAACATTTCCTAATTCTATAATCTATCAATGTAATTATGGCCTTAAAAATGACCACTTACATACTTCAAAAATTTTTTTAAAGTACATTTTGCATTAAAATTTGGGGAAAATTTAGCATTTATCAGTGGCTAATAAATTCAGAGAAAAATCAGAAGGAAATACCACTATGGACAAATTTTAACACATATATCCCTAAAATTAGTATGCTGATAACTAGTCCAACTACTAAAAGTTTGCAAACAAATCCAAACATATTCTAATTGCACTTATATCTTTTGTCACGGGGCTGGACTCAAGGATAAGAATAAACAGTAATATATATTACACATCTGAGGCTTTTTCAAGTCATCAAAAGATCTATGGTAAATAATATCAGATTATAATCAATCAGGTCAAAGACTCTCTGGATAAACAAGGAAAACACAATCATTCTCTTTAAGACAAAGTATCCATCAGTAGAATAAAAGTGCTAGTGACTCATCTTCCTCACATGGATGTTCTCAGGATGAAAAGTGTCATATTAGAACAACTTCTCATTCATTCAAAGGTGCTGAGAAATGGACACAAAGTATTTCCCCAGGTAACTGTGTACCCATGGGCACTGTACCCCTTGAATTACCACCACTTATTTGAGAAAACAATAATCATTTTACGTTGCATTACTATCTTTCCTGCTTAAAAAAATAATAGCATATAATTTTTAAACATTTTTCTAGTCTCTGTAACATCATGATGCCCATCAGTTATTGCACTGGTATGAATATAATAGAACTGTAGTTGTACTCTATGGGCTTTTAAAGCTGTCATTTTGGTTGTGACTGTACCCGACCCCATCGTACCTTCCCTTGCCCTTTAATGAAGCAAGGTTAGAAATCAGAGAGATGTAGTTTGCTAGAATTTCACACATATCAGAGTATAAAGAACAACTATGAGTCTCTTGAACAGTTAAACATAAGATCATGAGATCATAGTCACCAGTTTATGGATAATTTCAGTCTCTCAGAAATCTTTCTCTGGTTTTCAGTTATATTCCCAGAACTGAACTCTGAAATTTATGACTTTATATGGATTACTATTATTCTCCTTTATTTAGAAGAATTACATTATTGTGTATAAAGCTAAAATATTAATATTACTATTTTCTTAGATAAGTTGATATCTATTACAAGATAAATACTATACAAGAGGAATAACAATAGTCTTACTTATCAAATGTACAAGAACTTAAAAATTTTACCATAGACTCTTTGAAGGTTACTCTGTACTACAAAAAATTTCATTACAGGGTCAGTAAAATCTGTTGGGTTTATTGCTACTGAAATGGCATACATCATTTTTGTAAGCAGATTCTTCTGGCCCAATGAAAAATTAATTAACATCTTTTTAAAAACTGTTATCTAAAGTCATCAAATTCTTGTACCCTATGTATGTATATGCATATACTGTCTAGTCCTCACTACATTGCTAATTTCCCTTTAATATCTAATTCAAATTACACAAATCATACTCTAAGAACAGCCACTTACCTGATATAATAGTCATTTCTGATGAGCAAAAAATGTTGTAGAATGGATAATAAATAATTTTCAGCAGCAGTGTCCTTCAACATATTATACAGAAGATGGTATACTTCATTCATATCAGTGGAAAGTGAGTAAAGGAATAAAATGATTTCTGATTCACTTCAATTCATAACAAAAGCAGCTTCATTTTTGAAAACATTAAGAGATCATTTTGTTTCCATTACGGTTTCTAAACTTTCAACTCTATGATCCAGGATTTAAACATTTGCATAAAGAAATTTAATCTATGGATCACTTTAACTTTTTAACCACTAAAACGCTTAAACAGACTTAAACATTTAGCCATTAAAGACTTAAATGATAAGTTATTCATTATATTTTGAATTACAGCTTATAGTTGGTACCACTGGAATAGCAAATGCCATTAATGAAAATGATTTTTTCTTAACCTTCCTATGTTTATGATGGAGCACCTATATTATTCATACAAGCCAGTACTCCTGCTTTTTCACTGCCACACAAGATAGTAACGCAGAGGAACACTGCGTGGACTGCTAAAAGTTCATAAAAATCAGTTTCATTTTATACGGATGAACCATTACATATGAAATCATTACAATTTGCATTCATCTGTATTTCATTTTTTGATAAAAGAGGGAGGCTAAAGAAAAAGAAACCTGAAACATTTTTCTTACGATGTAAAAAGAGTGGTAGAAGTTTAAATGCTTTTATTAAATTAGAAAACAGATTTCAAATATGGATTCACTTTTATAAGAAAAGCAAGGACCTAGAAAATCGATGTAAAATAAAAGTAGAAGAGGAGATGTAATCCAGTATCTTAAAAATAACCTGAACTGTCAACATTTTCTCTGAAATAGAATTAAGTATATGATGGATTACTTCTTACACCTCATGTAAGAGTGTTGTGTTAAAGTCTCATAAGGTCCTTTCAATGGCTATGGAATAGATCCAAAAAATAGATTTATGGTGAAGAAAAATTTATACAAAGCAAGATATTTATTGATATAAAACACATTTAATATTACAGAAACTGCTGTAAACTAGAGTTACTGATGAAGGATAAGAAATTACTGGAAATTATCTCTCATAATAACAAAATTGTTATTCACTGCACTTATCCAGTACTCAAGTGTAAGATACTTTGATAGGAACATTGGAGGAAAAAGTTGAAATAATTCTGCCCTCCATTTCATAGGGGCATAGAAGTGTACCTAAATAAGACAGATACAGGGAAAGTACTACAGGGTGAAGAAGATGACTGAAGAAGCCATTATAGAGAGAAAGTGCAGCTCAAATAAACTTTTGGTTCTGATGTATTTCCCCATTTACCCAGAACCCATAGGTAAGAAATTTAGTGTATGTGAAACAAATGGCGAGCAATGCTATGACAATCATCTTTCATATCTAAAATCATTTTGTATAAAACTGTTGCCACAGAAAGGTTATATGCTAGTTCCATTTGACTCAAATGCTTCCACTCTAGCAGTTTTGTTCTAGTCAGACCCTATCACATTTAAACTGTTTTTCCCCCCTAAGGAAACAAAATATTTAGAATGAGAAAAAGACATTTATTTGAACTGAATGATATCTCTAAATCACCAGAAGACCATTTAATAAACTGAAAATGTCTATTACCTAGTTACATATGAACTCACTGAACTTTTCCCCAAAAATCCTTATCTGCAAGGAATATTGCCTTAGGCTCTTGTCTATTCAAGACCATTGAACAGAGTATACCTATAATGCTGCAAGCCATTGTGTGGATTTCAGTATACTCTGTGTAAATCATCAGGAGACTCTGACAGCTCTTCAACAGCAATCTCAAGAACAGCATCATAGTGAGGCTCTAATATAAATAAATGGATATAAATTGGGCTGGCAGACAAGAATTATAATAATGGTTCACAAAATCACTCAAAAATCCCTTTTTCACAGTACATGCAAAATGATTTTTCTGGTTTGTCAAAAGGATATTCCATTTCTGCGCGAATGTCATTGAGACGGTGTGATAATTCAGTTAGGTCGTCCTCTTTGTTCTCATCAAATACTTTCAACTGAATATCAAGCTCATCATTCTCTTTTTCTTTCAAATCCTAATATATAAACAGAAAACTTAACAGTCGAATAACAGTTTGACAACACCATACTTTGGAAATAAAGCCCTGATACTATTATTTATTTGCATACACAGAAGCAATTTCAAATTTTGACCCAGGCACTTGGTTTCCTATAAGAAAGTAAATGTACTCCGTTTTTCTGTTTTAAAATGAAAAAAACCTCGTTGCATTCACTGAATTTTCTTTTCACACCCCAGATTTTGACGATTCACATTAAAAAATTAACGATCACTTTTACAACGGAAAAAACCTAATTGCTAACAACCCAAATTAAATGCCGTTGTTTTGACTAAACACACTAATCAAAGATTGCAAAAGAAAGTCATGCAGTTAGAACATTCACATATGCCTCTGGCAAAAAATGCAAATATAGATCAATTGTATTAATGAAGAACAAATGCAAGGATATATTCAAGCACAACAGTCCCAAGTATGGCGTGAAAAGTTGTATAAACAAATTTATTTTAAATGAAATTTTGTGATTTTTAAAGCAAAAAGATGTCAGGATTTTTTAATCAAGATGCACAACCAGCCTCCTGCCCCACCTTTTATTTTTGCTTAGCTGAATCACAAAATATCAACTTGGGCATCAAAGATTTGTTTTTGTAATACATTATAAGCGCATGCGTTACAAATCCCTGATAATTTTCAAAATCATAGTATAAACAAAATCTTTGGAAGCATGCCACACTAGAGATTGTTGGGCTTAATATATATCACCTGGAATATCTTTTAATATGTGTCCTTTAAGTTGCCGCTTTTAAAACCCAAATTGATAATCACAACTGTGGATACTCAAGGGTGTTACAGAGAAACTAGGATGTTCAGAGCTGAGCTTGAACTCTAAAAGGAAATGCAAGCACAGTGTACTTCAAATTCGGTCGAGAAAACAAACTCAGATGCATTTTTTTTGTTTCTAATTTTATTACTAAGGACAATTATAAATGGAGATATAATGACTATTACTGAAACCAAACACAAACTTATACAATTTCTAGGTGTTTTTTTCCTAACATTCACATACATAAGAATTTACTGAAAATTTACCTACAGAGCATATGAAAGTATTAATATGTTTTAATATAAAATACATAACAAATATATACATGTAAGTTTAGTTTCCTCTTTAGTAATAATCTGTTTTAGCTCTAACTTTCTACTTTGAAGGGGAATGAAGAAATTTATTGGAATGTAAAGTTACCTAACATTGATGAGATATAGTATCAAGTGATTTCTGAACTCGATTCAGAAAAGAGCAGAAACCAGATACATCCAATTAAGAAAAAACCTTTAATACATTTTATAATACAGAATTTTTCCTTATTCTTATGTCATAATATATTCTTTCTTAGATGTTCACTATCAAATTTTAACACATTCAAATATGTTTAAATAGAAAAAACAAGTTATAGACTGTCATTTAATAAGCCTCAGAACTTTAGAAAAACATGAAATCAACCTGTATGATCTAAATACTTTCAGTAAAAATAACTGGTTAAATGTTTATTTCCATTTTTAATTCGGACAATACATTATTTATATAGTGTATATAGTATGTAAATATATATAGCACAATATAAAATACAGATGTGCATAAATGAAATATCTTATAAATATTGTTTGTTAACAATGTACCATTAAAACACATATGCATATCTACATGCACATACATATATAAAAAACTTTTCATTCAAATGTCAAACCTTGAAAGGTATATTCAAAAATTCTTGATTAAATAAATATTTAATGAATTAATAAAATTTTTATACAGCACAAATGTGACAGATACCTTATTGGAATATGGGAAATGCATCATTGAACTTTTATATTTTAAATGAAGAATGACATAAAATTACTGAATTACACTGTTAATTATGTGAAATAATGTAAAAATGTTTCAGATATTTTTTGAACAGATTTGCTGTACAGATACAGAACATTATCAGCAGTTTCTCTAAAATAGATAGTTACATCTCTATAATATGGTGTACTTCAAAGGAAATCAAAGTCCATTACCAGTATATGACTGATTACCAGTCAAGCAATCAAAATTGAGTCTTCTAAAGAATAAGAAAGGGTTTGTCAGTCTTCTAAAAGAGGTTAAGAATGCCGGCTGCCTACAGACACAATTTCTTACTGTCTTGTTCCTTCACATACCTGATTTAATAAATGGCAGATGGAGAAAACTTCACAAGAAATCAAGGTAAGTTAACTACAGAGCAAATACTTGTTCCTTCACATACCTGATTTAATAAATGGCAGATGGAGAAAACTTCACAAGAAATCAAGGTAAGTTAACTACAGAGCAAATACTATTTTAAAAATCACTATGTAGTGTTTAACAACTCATCTGTCCCAAATTACTAAAGCAAATTTATGAAAAGTGAATTTTCCATGTAACTGAAATATAAATTCTTTCAACATCACAATGTATTTATACAGGGCAAATTTTTAAAATAAATTTCTAAAAGAATGTAATTAAAATAATTGTCATTGTCTTGATGATTCTAATAATTATATGAAAAAGCATATTATTCTACTACAATGATGGTCTCTGGGATTATTGAAATGCTAAGAACTGTTTTTTCCCTAGCATTTAATGATTCCAGATAGGTATAACTTTTGATCCATGTGCCAACAATTTATATTAGCCCTAGTCACATCTAATTTGCTACTTTGAATATGATATATTCTAGAAAATTAGAAAGTTCCTCCTGTTATACAGTGTATAAAATAAGAGTAAACAGGATAAAAATCATGATATTAGAGACTCATCTTTGAATATATTATTAGGTTTCCATGCATGTGTAAAAGCTGTTTAAGGTTATGATAAATTCTACTGGTTGAAATGTAGTATTTAGTACATCAGGTAGATAATAGTTGACATGTTAGGGACATCTAGTGTAAATTAAAGCAAGCCCATTCTGAGTTTTCCTCAAAATTTTGATAATGAAACTACAAGGACAACACCAACAGTAGGGTCTATCTGCCTAGATTCTGATTCTCATATTGTATATGAGAAATACCTGGGAAGGATTATTTTTATTTTTTCAAAACAAACATATCTGCCCCACCTCTAATAAGATTGCGATAGGCTCTTTAGGGGGACAATCTGCCTGCAATGCAGGAGAGCCTGGTTTGATTCCTCGGTCAGGAAGATCCCCTGGAGAAGGGATAGGCTATCCATTCCAGTATTCTTGGGTTTCCCTGGTAACTCAGATGGTAAAGAATCTGCCTACAATGTAGGAGATCTAGGTTCGATCACTGGATTGGGAAGATCCCCTGGATGAGGGCATGGCAACCCACTCCAGTATTCTTGCCTGAAGTGTTCCCATGGACAGAGGAGCCTGCCAGGCTACAGTCCTTGGGGTCACAAAGAGTCAGGCACGACTGAGCAACTAAGCAAAGCACAGCTCAATTTCTTGAGAATCAGAAAACTACTTAGCCATATCTCACTTTATTGTCATAGAAAGAAAAGAACATTGAGAATCCTTGTAGGTTCCATTCCAAAACTTGAGTAGGCAGAAACAGGACACTTCTTACTTTCCTCTTGCTGAGGAATCACTGAGACCTAAGAATTAGGTCATACTGAAGAGATACGGTAGTTAAAGAAAAATCTAACTGGAAGCATGTTTAGAAGTACAGGGTACCTACCACAAGAGGCTATATATACATATATGTGTGTGTGTGTGTATATATATATTATATATATATATTGGCTGCTGTATACATACAGCAGCTATAGGGCCAATAGGAAAGTGCCGCTAAGAAACACTGATGCAAAACCTTAGCTGTCAATGTAACCAAATGAAAAATACTATGAGACCAGTGAATAGCAGAGATGAGCACATCCTGACAAAAGTGCACAACATAAGAACAAGAGCTATTATGTACACTTTCTGAAAAGATGAGGACTTAAATAAATTGAGAGTCACCAATTTCTTGACCAGTCATTCAGTAGTATAAGGTAGAAAATGAATGTTCAATTATAGACATAAGGAAATGAAAGCTGGAAAAGTAACAACAACAACAAAGGCAGAAAAACACCACGTATTAGTAAGTGACTAGAGAATGCTCAGGAGCCCCTGAAGCCAACGAGTGTCCAAAGACATGATTACTCTCTCAGAAACAGAGGAGCAATCCCTGGAGGACAAAGATGGAAAGCTTTGTCCTAGGCAGCTCAAAAGCACACTAGAATCCAGACTATAATATGACCTACATAATTACATACTGTAATATTAGCTACACAAGGCCACAGTCTTTTTGTGAGGAGATTTGTGAGAAAAGAAGAATAAATATGTAACATACACTATTAACTAGTGAATGTCCCTAAGTTAATTGCGTGTGGGAAGAAAGTGTTAGTCACTCAGTCTTGTGTGACTCTTTGGGACCTCATGGATTGTAGTCTGCCAGGCTCCTCTATCCATGGGGATTTTCCAGGCAAGTGGGTAGACATTCCCATCTCCAGGGTATCTTCCCATCCCAGGGGATCAAACCCAGGTCTCCTGTTTCGCAAGTGGATTCTTTACCATCTGAGCCACCAGGAAGTCCCAAGTTAACCTCATACTGAACCTCTCAGGTCACTTATGATTCACTGCAACCAATTCCTTGGTTTATAAAGTCATGGATGAAAAAACCACTCAAAGTGGAATTGATATAGAAATTTCTAAAACTGCATAGACTCAATCGTATATCTTATTAAAATGGGTCTCAATGGATCTAATTATAATGATGATGAGTTTTAACTACTTTCAGTTAAGATCATCAGAATACAAGTAACAGATGCATGCTACACACTGGTTTCTCACCAGGAAATTTCCCTGATTTTGGTTATTTCTAATACCCTAGGAATACACTATATACATGCTCATTGACATTTGTTTTGTTTTTTCTTTACAGGGTCCTTTTATTCCCTTCTGCTACTTTTACTTCTTATTTATCTCATGTGGCTTGAGTAGATTAAATAGACTAGGGAGATTTTGCTTATCTCTTTTAACAATGCCATGACCTTGAACAAACTCCTTCATCAGTTAACATAATAAAGTCATGGCAGCTGCATATCTGTTTATAGAATATGTGTGTTGATTTATCCTAGAACAAGCTTATAGTTATTTCAAAAATGTTTTTAACAGCATCATAATTAGAGCAAATAACCACACTCAATTTAAGAAATAAAACTGCTTTTCTTTTAGAAAAGTTGCTACAAAATTGGTAACGAGAATACAATTTTTGTTATGTATCTAGAATATATTAATCAAAATTCTATGCATACTTATGTTGAATATAAAGGAAATCAATCTAAGTTATCAAAGAGGAGAGCAAAAAAATTTTATTGAAAATCGAAATGGCAAAAAAAAAAAAATAGCAGTCTTTTATGCTCTAAGTATTCAAAGTCAAAGAAAATAAGTTTCCTTTTGACTTTAAGGAAACCAAGAAAGTCATCACTTCTGGACATATCATTAGCTGAATTCTGAATCACCAGCTGTATGTTGAGACTAATAATACTGCAATATCAAAAAGCTTGCAAAGCATCTAATGCTTTATAAAAGAAAACACTAAGGCACATTTACTTACTTGGCTGCAAGTACTTTTGTCTAAAGAGAGAAAAACATTAAAGTTCGTAAGCATTATAAAAGTGCACATTCCACTTACTGGTAACATTGTTTTTAGTCCTGAACGAAGGAATTCATTCCTTAAATGGATTCGAAAATCAAGGTCATAAGGAGATGTGACAAGCGCATTTATAAACTGCATGCAGGCCACCTGCAATTATAAAATAAACTTTGTTAAAAAAAAGTTTAAGAAATACTTAATGCTTTCAGATAACTTTTTTCCATATACTAAAGGCATACAAACATACATTATGAAATATATTAAGAAAGGCAAATATTTATATAAGTATAATGACTATGACTTTATAGCAGAAACAAAGAAATTAACAATAAAGTTTCCAATGTCCAGAGCAATTCTAACAAAGGTAAAATGCATGGTCAAGTACTGCTGTATTTGCTAAACTATATGAAGCAGTATGATATTTTCTCTGAAAAACTCAAATTTCCAAAAGTGTGGATATAGAGCCCTTTAAAAAGATCATAAAATGTATCTTCCATTTACAGCTGTCCTCAGCATGCACTTGGTCTCAATTCTATATGGTTATAAATACTTTTCTAAAATAAATCAAATAAAGTGATGAAAGTATGTTGATACTAAAGAGTAGTGATAACTTAGAGATGTTATTACACTGATTTACACTTGCTCCATTCTGTTATTAAATGGATCTGCACAAAATATAGACTATTAAAATATACGATTAAGATGAATTAATTTACTACATAAAAAAATGAATGCAAGTGAATTAATATCAACTAGAAGGCACAGTGACAGAAATACTCATGTGCATTGCATGATAAAGTAAATATAAGACCTTGTTTTCAAGTAAACATAATTCTTTACTTAGATTGATGCTAGAAAATGGGTTTTGGTTTTCCTCTGATATTGAGCCTCCTTATTAAAAAAGAGGAGGGAGTTATTTTCTGGTAATGGCAAGCTAGTAGAGTATTAACCAAATGCTAATTGCCAGGTATTCCAAAGATTATTCCTCATTTTTTAAAAATGCTCAAGTCTAAGGCAACTGGCTGATAGTTCAACTGAAGAGCTGCACATTGAAATTGATTATTTTTAAAGTACACAATGAGTAGTTAAGAGTGTTCAAAGAGCTGAATGCAAGGGGACCTCTGGAAAATATCAGATATAGTAAAGATGCTAACTGTATATAGAAGGGGACACAAATAAATCAATAGTTAGTATGAGAAAAACACAGCAGCAAAAGAAAAATATTTCAAATGTTATTCTGACTTGACCTTATCCAGACCTGTCATTATGATAGTGATTTTTTTCAAGTACAGACAAAATATTAAAAGGTATATTGGTTTTATTTTTATATCTTTATGTTATACAGTTAAGCTGCTTTGGGGTGGATTAGCCTATCCAGCTCACATTCAGGTTCAAAAATCAAAAAAGTTGTAGGCATTAAAGGGGATGATCAAGGTTGTCTTTAACATTATTAGCTACCTAAAAGATAATTGATAAGAATGTAGTCCAATTTCTATGAATGCTCAAATGTCAAGCTAAATCACTGAGACATCTGACTAAATATTTGCCATTGACTTGGCATTACCTTAAAAGTCATATCAGGTAAGTTATTATGATGCTTATGACTTAATGGGTTACTTAACCTTCCTATTCATAGTAAGAAAAAGTTTGTCTCCAAATAGTTTAAATAAGCTGGAATATAAATTTGCACAGCATACATGTCCATAGCTATATTATCATTGTATTTGCATGACTGATTCTTGTTATGTTACAACTATGACCTGACCGAACAAGCCAAAGTACATGTCCAATCCAAAATTAATAGAGAGAAAAGTTGCCATCTGCTAGGATTGTTTTTGCCAGAAGAAATTCTAGCTTAATGGCTTGTATTAATATCCTACAAGTAAAGAGAACATTTCCATAACAAACAAGTTAATGAGTCTTGGAATTGTACCTTTATACAATAAAAATATTTGGATCAGGAAATAATAAAAATAGTAAAAGTCAAAAAAATTAATGAATGTAACAACATCTAAATAATTCCGCATTTAGTAAAATAAATGTTGCAATGCTATTAAATACTTAACATGCAATGTATAAATATTGAATATATAACTAAATGCAGAAAATAAAGTTACAGCCATTGACTATAGTATAAAATGATTAACAAGTACTTTGAAGTTAGTTTAAACAGGTAAGGGCACTGATTTATTAATGTACTATTTGTTATCAAATTCTAATGGATATTTAATTAATTACCAATAACATAAGATGAATATTCATACTATCATTTCATTTTCCAACATAATCTGCTAAAGCAATGCTCTTTAATAGGAACATCTATATTGAATGGATATGGAGAACAAAAAAATCTTTTTAATTATCTCCACCTCTTTATATTACTACACAATTACTGCCCAGGAGCAAAATCAATCCAATTGCCACTATTTACAAATATAAAGTTAATTTTTTAAAGTGTAATTAGCTTAAAGGGCTGACTATATTATTACTTAATTATAAACATGAAATATCCATTTTGTAGATTCTGAATTTATAGCTAAATACAAACTCCCAAATTATTATCATCATTATTATTTTCTATTAGCTTTTGTTACCAGACAATTTAGGAGTTTTACATAGCATAATTCACCATCTAATCTCATCCTCACAACAACCATATGAAGTGTTACTATTATACTCATTTCAGCTGATGAAGCTAAGACTCAAAACAAATAATTTATACAAGGTCACACAGAAAGGAGGAAACTCATGATTCTAAACCATGTAACTTTACTCCAGATACAGTTTAATTTCCAGAACATTCCAGATGCCTAACCAACTCCATTCCTAGACTAACACAACAAAAGATTTTAAGGATGGGTAAGATAATAAAATTTAACTAGTGCATCATGTTTAATATATTAGGAATACCTAACTTTGAAACTACAGGTTAATTAGAAAAACATATTTATTTTAACATTATGTTGTTTAGTATATAAAGTGGTTATCATATGTCAATTAGACTTCAGTAAAAATAAAGTCATCATCATAATACATAATGGAATACAAAAGGAAGGAAAGAAGAAAAGGAAAAGAGAGGAAGAGAGAGAAGGAAAGAGGGAGGGAGAAAGACAGGAGAGGAGAGAAAATCGTCCCTGGAATGTGTTAGATTTCACTTTACATAATATAAACAATGATCTATGGGCAGTATTCAATCATCCAGCAGAATGGCCTCTCACTTTCCTTAATTTGTTGCCAATCCCACTCCCTCCACTCCTTATTCAGCATGGATGTGCATGCAAATACATCGTGTACACACACACACACACACAATCATGCTATTCAATATGAAGCCACTAACTACAATTTAAATGTAGCTTAATTACAATTAAGTAAATTTAAAATCCAGTTGCTTGGTCTCATTAGTCACAAATGTTCAACAGCCACATGTGGCTAGTGGCTCCCATACTGGACAGCATGGATATAGAGCACTGCAGTCTGACCACATAGCACTGCACTGGACACTTTAATTTAAAAATGGTTCTGTTCCAATATCTAAAACCTAAGCTCCAGAGCAGGGGAAAACACATTAATGAATAATGAAACTTTCAAAATTGGTATGTTCAACTTCAAAGTATACAAATTTTTAAGAGCATGATTGAAGGATATTGTCCTCTTTCAATGAAAAATTAATCTGCTTTCAAAAAAAAAAATCTAACTCCAGAGACAGAAAATAAAAAATTACAGGGTTCAAAAGCTAGAAAGAACATAAAATACACCAATCCAATATTCTCATTTATAGATAAGGAAACTGAAAACCTAGGAAGATTAGGTCATTTGCCCAAGACTTTATAGCTAACGTGTTTGTGTGTATGAGTTAGTTGCTCGGTCGTTTCACTCTTTGCAACCCCATGGACTGTAGCCTGCCAGGTTTCTCTGTCCATGGGATTTTCCAGGCAAGAATATTGGAGTGGGTTGCCATTTGCTTCTTCAGGGGATCTTCCTGATCCAGGGATCGAACCTGGGTCTCCCATATTGCAGGGAGACTCTTTACCATCTGAGTCACCAGGGAAGCCCATATAACTAATAAGAAGCCACAAAGATTGGATTTGAACACAGGCCTCATGACTTTTAGTCTTGAAATCTTTCTACCACCCTACAATGCACAAACCTGGCATTGCTGAATAGCATTTTTCCCTGTACTGGAAAGAAAACAAGTGCCTTTGAAATGAAATCACAAATTTCACTATCTAGATTTCATCTGCTGCTTCTTTTCTTTATAATGCATCTAAGGTTCAAAATGGTCTGCCATATCTGTTTTAAATCCAGCTTTCATAAGAATTAAAATTTTAAAAGTCATAAGAAGTCTGAATTTTTTTCCATTATTGATAAACATGCTAGGCTAGAACCAAGATTCTGATTTTTGACCAGTAAAAATAGTTTCTGTATTTGCAATGTTATTAAATAATCTCCTTATAAGGAGATACCTACACAATATCTATACAACCCATTGAATAAATGCATTAACATGTAGATAAAAGCTTTGTGCATGAGACAAAGCATCCAAGAATTTGTGCCATGTATAATTATACTAAATTGAGTTACTATCAGTTTTTGCTTAGCATTTTAGCCTTCCTTTACCATTATAGTATACCTTCTTTCTACAATAATCACCCACATTCTTCAGTCAGAGGATGCTAGTATCTTCATTGTCAGGTGTGGGGTATGGTATAGAAAGTGAAATATCACAGAACTGATTTTAAACTTCCTAAAGATATGACTCTAAATTTGTTTAGGGTTTTCTTTGTAACTCCTCAGTTCAGTTCAGTTCATTCGCTCAGTCATGTCCGACTCTTTGCGACTCCATGAATCACAGCACGCCAGGCCTCCCTGTCTATCACCAACTCCCGGAGTTTACTCAAACTCATGCCCATTAAGTCAGTGATGCCATCCAACCATCTCATCCTCTGTCGTCCCCTTCTCCTCCTGCCCCCAACCCCTCCCAGCATCAGGATTTTTTTCAATGAGTCAACTCTTCGCATGAGGTGGCCAAAGTACTGGAGTTTCAGCTTCAGCATCAGTCCTTCCAATGAACACCCAGGTGATCTCCTTCAGGATGGACTGGTTGGATCTCCTTGCTGTCCAAGGGACTCTCAAGAGTCTTCTCCAAC